GGGGGGGTATATCTAGGCGCATTCGTGCTTTCAAATCAAACCCTGTTCGGTATTTTCCCTAATAAAGAGTCATGAGTTTGATTACAAAATTTATTTATGGTCTGCAGTTTGACACAATCTCTTTCTTTCGACAAATATTTGGAAAGAGTTCAGACTGCAGCTAATTAGATCCATTATGAGTTAAGTCACAGAAGATCAAGAATTACGCCCGTTAGACGTGCGCCTGTCCGGCTTGTGACTTCTCGACGGGGATCATGACGAAGGGATTATTTTTAGAAACCGGTCCGGTGGGTATAGCGCAAGGGACGTAATTTCAGGCCCAGGTGGCAAAGGCCAACTACTCTTTCTCTTATCTCGAGAAGGGGAGTTATCGACCTGTAAGTTTCATGGCATTCTCGTCAAACGTGTTCGCACGGCTTCGAATTTAAAGTATGGGTCGAAAAGATACGGTCCGTTTCATTCTCTCTCTCACTACTCTCAGCTGTCGTAGCCAATTTCAGTGGGTGTGTTAGGGGTTCGTCTGCGTGTCTGCAAGTTTTCAGCATAATAACCTCGCGTGTACGCTGTGCTGTTGGGGGACTGTCGTGTTGTGAGCTTGTGCTGTGTTCAGTGTTCGGTTGGAAGCGATCTGTGGATATTCGTCTCTCTCACTCTCTCAGTTCGGGCTTCAGACCTGACAGCAGCGAGGGAGGACAGACGCCTCGTCACTTTTGTCAACACCGCTGCCAGTACCTGAGGCGTTGTACGAGGGCGTGTTTGTCAATGTGTTCGTGTGTGTAGTTGTGGGCAGGCTGACTTTGGGCCTCGGCTCGGAATGTGAAGGCGTTTTACAGCGACTTGTCACACCTAAGTGACACAGTGTAGGCACGCAGCTTTTAGTTTACTTCGTTTTCACAAAGAATTCGTTATGAGTGTGTGCGCGTGGCATGGTAACCCATTCAGAAATGCGTGCTGAAAATAATTTCTTCAAACTGGATGTGTTGAATCTTTCGAAGCGGTGAAGTAGCGACAGAGAGTCAGTGCCTTTCATTCTTTGCTTTAGGATCTAAATCAATTTACTGAAGACATTCTACCAACGCAAGGAATGGCAGACGTCTAGACTTTAAAGTCGTTTTTTCTGTGGTAAGCTGGCCTTAATTTTTTAGGATGATTACATTCCTTTTAAAATTTGTTCGTTTTGCTTTGAACTCGTCCCCCCATTTCGTTTCAGAGCGCTGAAAAATCTTTCCCGTATCCGCAGTAGTTTTATTGGCTAGATCTAGAAGATCTAGATTCTAGATCTAGAATCTAGATCTAGATCTAGATCTAGATCTAGATCTAGATCAGTTCTTTGAAATGGTTGCTTTTATGTTGGGCCTACGCCCAACTGCCTGACAGATTTATCAAAAATCTAGATTCTATATAAAGAGGAAATTGAGTGAATGCGAAGTAGTAGGCTAGTCGTTCGAGGATAAGGTAATAATTAGGCTAATGAAGATACAACTATCTAGATCTAGATATGTAGATCTATATCTAGTATCTGGCTTTGAAAGTTATTATTGGCCAACACTGATGCTACTGTGATTGATTTCAATTTTAATTATAATCATATAATAAATACAATGATGTCATATAGGCGTCTAGATTTCTAGATCTATTGTTCTT